TTCTCAGCACAGTGTAGATTAATAAAGTGGGGTTGTGACTTTCAAAAAAAAAATCACCTACCAAGCTTATTATTTCTCAAAAAAAAACTAGCTACCTCATTAGCGTGTAGTATATCACATCGCCCATTCCTTTGTCCGGGAAAACTTGTCGGAGAAATGGATATATTCAGACGTATTTTTTTAGGAAAGGCCATCAAGGCTAGCTTTATTGCGACTTAAAACAGGATTACATCATCCAAGAGTTTGGGAATAACACAATCTGAAGGTTCGTTAACCCAACTACTAGTAATCTTATTACAATAACAATAATTTGCTAGCAAATGAGCTACTTGGTTCGAATCACGACCACAATGCTTGAAACTAACCTTCCCAATAAGTGATGAAACTTTCAAACATTCTGCAAAGATGACTGCAGCTGCATCCCACCATCTGTTTTGACCTGAGCATTCAATCACCGTTGTCTTGAGTCTGATTCGGCTTCCACTCTAGGAAACCCCAAAGAATTTGCCAAGACAAGTCCATCCCTCATTGTTTGAGCTTCAGAGATTACCAAATCTGCAGCATAGGGTAAGAATTTACATTGAGCTGCCAAGAAATTACCTTTATCCTCTCGGATTACTGCACTTGTTGCCCCCGCCCTCTCATTCTAAAAAAAGGCCGCATCCACATTAACTTTTACAAACTTCGGGTCAGGTTTCAGCCATCTCTGAATATGGTTCTCTCGGCTTTTCTGATTTGCTTCCTGGAAGCTGTTTGCAATTGCCATCAGTGACATAGACCATCTGGAGGGAGGTGGAGGTGAACCATTATGTGTAAGCGCACGACGGATCCACCAAAGATACCATCACCCCACCGTAATCACTTGTTTGATATCTAAGCTCGGCTTTAGAACAAGCGGTCGATCCATCAAAAGCAAATTTTCCAGGACCACCGAACCTGATCGTTGCATCCCCATAGCATGTTCAACAATTTCTAGTATCCCCGAGCTTCTCCATAACTCCTTCGCATGAGTGTAACCGAACAGAAGATGTTTAATATCTTCAGCCGCTCCATGGCATATTGGGCACCCGCCTTCACTTCCAACATGGCGATTCACAAGTATCGATTTTAAGGGGATTATTCCATCCAGAGCCCGCCAACAAAAGATAGAAACTTTATGTGGGATCGTGAGTTTCCAAAGTTTCCTCCAAAACTTCATCAGCGGAGCGAAATCCTCCCAGCGGAGCCCCCTCCCTACAGGAGCCATTTTTTTCCGCTAGCGGAGCGAAATCCTACCAGTCGCCCACTCAGGTCCTCGTTGTCCGCCTGATTGGGCCAAAACTTCATTAGGCGAACCCAACGCGTTGGGGGTGCATGGGGCGCCGGCGGAAGCGAAAAAGCCCGTGGGCCAGCTCTGTCGGCGTGCTAGCTGCAGATTCTTCCTCCCGCCCGTCACTGTCGGCGAGCCAACCACTTTCCCCTTCACCGCCACGTCGTTGCCGG